AAGGAACCATGAGGTCTGAGATCCAGTAGAACACTCAGTTTTTTGCTCTGGACCATGCTGAAGACTAGTCATCAAAATCGTCTGTGAGTTATTGCTCCATTCCAGCATATTTCCCTGCATTTTATGCAGCCCAGCTGCAACAATGAGGCTACCATGCTCCTTAACAGATTTGAATGACACAGGCCTCCAAGGGTTAGTCCTGTTTTTAGCTTCCAAGGAGACTGATTCTCTAGTCTTTCCAGGACAAGGAGTGAGGAAAACCCCAGGCACCTTGGCTTCCTTAACTTCTCTCAAAGCTTCACATTCACCACCTCCACACCTGACCCTGCTCTCTACCCACAGAATAAAAGTAGATGTCACTACCCAAGATTTTAATTAATCATCTTTCTATTTTTCTTTTTTCCTTTTGGGTTAGACTTCTAAGTGTCTATCATGTTGATAGCACTCTAGGGAGTCTTTTGTTCTGAATAGGTGAAAAATTGTACCCACAAAAAGAGTTCCCCATCCGATCAATTCTCTCTAACAACTTTATTGATTAGCTGCAGGAACATTTTTCATTTATTAATTATGAGGAAGATGTTTCAGGGATTCCTTAAAGTTAACTATTGTGATTTTTTTAAAAAAAAATACTGAGTTAACATTGACTGACTTGACTCAAACTGCTTAACAGGGCAGAGAGTCTTAAAGCAGGTATTTGGAGTCTCAGCGCAGGAAGCTATTAAGTGCCTATGAGCATAGGCAGTGGTCTGAATCTTCATTTGGGGCTGATTAATTGATTACTTGAAAAAAAAAAAAAAACATGGCTTGTCCTTTTCAATAATGTGTTAGCATCAAAATATCATCCCATTATGATGTCCAGGCTGGTGATAGTTAATTAATTAATTGCTGCCAGTTAAAAACAATGTTCGACCCAGGTAAATCTTTCATTTATTAAAATCAATTTTGGTAATGGCTTTGCAAAGGGATTTGGGAGCAGAGTCAGAATATTGGCCAGCTCCTCCTTCCCTCCCCTTCTTCTCTCCCTCTTCTCCCCCTCCCCCATTCCTTCCCCCACCTCACCTCCCTAGTCCATCCAGTTCCCCCTGACTCTGGGGTTGGCAGGTGTCTATTAGCATCCCATTCAGCAGTGTGGGTCAGAGGCTCCCTGGGCTGTGGATATTCTGTCGGTTGCAGGCTGGCTTCCTCCTCCTCCCCACGCGTTACTTAGCAGAAAACAATCTGAGAGCAGACATCCCTGCCAGCTTAATTCCCAAGGCTTCCTGAGGAAGAATGTTGGGCTGCTCGGAAGAGAGGGAACCTGTACCAGGAAAACAAATTCTTGCTCACCAGTAGTATCCCCAGCCCTGTCACTCACCATATCCTTGCTAGACAACATTCATAGCAAGTAACCCTAATCATGAAAGAAAGAAAAAAATGCATCCAACTTCATGGGTGAACCAGGCACTGTGCTGGACACAAACATGAATAGGGATCCATCTCTGCCCTCAGGGTGATTCCAGTCTATGGAATCAGTCTTTTTACAGTTCTAGCAGAACTGAGGAACATGCAGGAGGAAAACTGGTGATGTGTATTAATCTGTTTTGATGCTGCTAATAAAGACATATCCGAGACTGGGTAATTTATAAAGGACAGAGGTTTAATTGACTCACAGTTCCACATGACTAGAGAGGACTTACAATCACGGTGGAAGCAAAGGAGGAGTAAAATCACGTCTTACATGGTGGCAGGAAAGAGAGCCTTTTGCAGGGGAACTCCCCTTTATAAAACCATCAGATCTCATGAAACTTATTCATTATCACAAGATAATGGGCATGGGAAAAATCCGCCCCTATGATTCAATTACCTCCCACCAGGTTCTTCCCACAACACAAGGGGATTACAGGAGCTACGATTCAAGATGAGATTTGGGCAGGGACACGGACAAACCATATCATGGCACATGGATAAGATTAGGACAAGAGGAGATTTCCTCAGGTGCTTCAGAGGAAAAATGGATTTGAACCCAAGTAAAAGGTTATATAAAAAGGTATTTCTCATGAGGAATAGGAGAGAGTAAAAATGAATTTGATTGGTGAATGTGGAATGATGCCAGGGAAAATGAAAAGGGAGTAAGAGGCAAAACCAAACCGAACCCCAAAATCCTTGTGGCTGCTCAGGGAGCTCACGGTGGAGTTTGAGGTTTTGGGGAGCCCTGGAGTAGAGAGGGCCATGGGTTAGTGGTCAGGGTGGAGGGCTGAGTCAGAGGAGCTTGGGGTCCTGAAGAGTCAAGTAGAATATCAAAAGCTTTGAGCCATGTGTTTGATGTAAAAAGATAAATGAGGGGGGAGGAACGCAGATTTGAGAAGACTGATATGGGAATATAATGCCACAGGGCTGGTCTGGGTTCTCCAGCAAGAATCAACCTTCCCAGGACTGGAGACAGCTCAGCAGAAGGGAGGCAGTGAGGGACACAGTGGGCATGTGACCATTTAAAATAGGTTGAAGTCTCCAGAAAAGTTACATCCCAGGCTTCTCAAAAAACTTGCAAATGTGACCTTAAAACTACTTACTGTTGTTCAGAAATTATGGAAATGAGGATAGGAAAATAATGTATTGGCAAAAGTTCCCATTCTCAAATAAAAAGAAAGTGTAGATTCTGGAAACCATAAACTTGAAGTCCCCTGACATGCATGCATAGCTCCCTGATAAAATTCCAGATCAAATTATTAAAAGGAAGATTGGAGACTGGGGGTGGTGGCTCACGCCTGTAATCCCAGAACTTTGGGAGGCCAAGGCGGGCAGATCACGAGGTCAAGAGATTGAGACCATCCTGGCCAACATGGTGAAATCCCGTCTCTACTAAAAATACAAAAATTAGCTGGGCGTGGTGGTGCGCACTTGTAGTCCCAGCTACTTGGGAGGCTGATGTGGGAGAATTGCTTGAACCCAGGATGCAGAGGTTGCAGTGAGTCGAGATCACGACCACTGCACTCCAGCCTTGTGACAGAGTAAGACTCCGTCTCAAAAATAAAGTAATATAAAATAAAATAAATATAAATAAATAAAAAATAAAAGGAAGATTGGAGGATTTTAGAAATGAATTCAGAGGTTCTTAATGGTTAAAATAAAATTGCTAATAACAAGCCAAATAAACCATATTTCCTTTCTGATAAGGTTATAGGCTCATGTATCAGAGGCATGACATAATTGCGGATCTTCTCTATTCTAGCAAAGCAGCTGAGCTGAGCTTGTCTGATATTCCTATGGGCAAATTTGTAAATTCTGAGTTGAACTCATGTAGTTAGTTTGAATCACTACCAATGAGCATTCTTACTGAAAGAATCTTGATTATTCAACAATGGGAGGAATTGAGTTTAGAATTCTTTTCCTAACCCTATCTTGTTCAAAATTTGTTTTTGTTGTTGTTGTTGTTGTTTGAAGTAAATGAAGGCACAGGAAACATGCTTATCATATTTCTATGTATGACTCATGTCTGGAAGGGATAGTTAACACAATGAAAGAACAAATCAATATTCAAAGTTATTCTGTTAGGTTGGAATATGGAAAAAAACCTAAGAGTATAACAGGAATAAACATAAACTCTGAGCTTAGGTTAAAAAATCAGTAACAAAGGCACAACACTGAGAATGTATGACTTGGTAGAAGTTGATATAAAAAGAAACTGGGAGTTTATCTGACCTTAAGGATACAATAGCATCACGTGACTGGTAAGGAAGCTGATGCAGCATTAGGCACTGTCTTAGTTTGGGTGTCCCTAAGGCAGAACTTGAGATGAGAATTCCAGTACCAGTAATTACTTTGGAAGGTGAACCCAGGAAGCCTCCTCGCATATGGGATGGGGGAAGTGACACAGGGAAGGAGCCAAGAACGGATGAGCATCAAGTCAGCAGTGAGAAGGGTAACAGGAACATGATGCTGCTGAGAAACTCTGAGGAGGGTGGAGAGCATGAATCTCAGGGCTGCCCCAGCTGAGTGGTGAGGGAGCTGCAGTATTTATACTCCACCTTTCATTTCGTTACTAGCTGAAGGCTCCTTTGGGGAGTGTTGACTCCTTGGCACTTCTGACTGTGCACAAAACAGGCTCTAGCAGACACAGAAAGTCCTCAGGCAAAGATATATAGATGTTGACAGTTAGAAATCGGGCCACCATGCACTAAAATGTTAAGACTCAAGAAGATATGGGCTGGACACCAGTGACATCAGCTATATTCTCTAAGAATTATGTAACAAACACATGTCTGTCCTGCTGGTCAGCCACCATCTGGGGTGTTCTATTTAATTCTGGGTGCCACATTCAAGAAAAACATTGAAGAGCTGGAGTAGAGGACCAAGATCACAAAGGTTTGAGGACTATGTCATCTGGAGATGGAACTAAGGAGACCAAGTTTGGAAAAGGAAAAACAAGGGCAGATGATATCCGCTTGACATCTCATCTTGGGTGTCTAACAGACATCTTCAACTTAACATGTCCAAATGGGACTTCAGAGTTCTCCCCTAAAGCTAGAATACCATGTTTTAAATATGCTGGATAAATATAGAAAATGCACTATGGCCCCTACTGCCACTACCCCTCCATGCTGCCATGGTCATACTCCTGTTCTAAAGGGAGGGTGTGAAAGGAGAACTGAGTAAATATGGAATACCAAAACACAATGCCAAAAAAGGTTAATATCTATACATAGAAGTGATTTTAAAGATGTGCTGGGCTTTGATATTGAAATAACTGAAAGAATATACAAAACTTGAACAGATGCTTAATCTGAGACTATAAAAGAATAACAAAACGATCCATTTTTAAAAGATAAAGACAACACCATGAATGAACAAATAAGAGATTATTTATGCCAGGTGCAGTGGCTTATGCCTATAATCCCAGCACTTTGGGAAACTGAAGTGGGAGGATTGCTTGAACCCAGGAATTCCAGACCAGCCTGGGCAACATGGCTAAACCTTGTCTTTACAAAAAACAAAAAACAAAAATTAGCTGGGTGTGGTGTCACATGGCTGTAGTCCCAGCTACTTGGGAGGCTGAGGCAGGAGGATTGCTTGATCCTTGGGAGGTCGAACTGCTCAATCCCTGAAGGTCCATAATCATGCCAATGCACTACAGCCTGTATGACAGAGAAAGACCCTGTGTCAAAAAAGAGATTAATTACCACTTACGTAAGAATATATTACATGATTAGATATTCCTACACAGAGATAGATATATAGGCTTATTTAACTGCTAATTATTCATTCATACAGGCATACACACACTGCAAATTATAGCTGGGTATGACAGTACTGTAGTTTTGATATTAATACCAATTCTTCCCAGTTGGCAAAAATAAATTATGGCATTCCCAACCGATAGACCATTCAGTGGTGGAACTCCCCGTATGTTGATACGGAGTCATCTTCAAGACCCAGCTTTCTCACAGTGAACAGAGTCTTCCTCTTGCCATGCTCGCTGGTCCAGGGCTCACTTGGTTTCAAGTTTGCAGTGGCTTGAGGGTCCTTATCTTCCTTGTGTTGCTCCAGGATCCTAGTCAGACTACTTATTAAGCATGTGGCTTGAAAAAAAATCCCATAACTTAACAGGATTCAGTTTTCCTGAAATGCCTTTCTCATGAGTTTGCTGGGGAGAACAAGCAGGGATAGAAATGAGTTTTTGGAGATTTGGGATTTGATTTTCTTTTGAGTTGACCTGGGGAGAATGAGAAGCCACAGATATCTCTAAAGCTGTTGTAGAAAGAAGCATTTGTTCTTCTTTTCTTTTAATATTATTCTGGCTTGGGACAAAATACTTTTTCCTATAATCCCTGCCTCCCTTGAGGAAATCATTCAGGAGGCAGTGACCTGGACCAATTGTAATGGACATGTACAAATCTGAACAAATGCAAGAGAATAATGTAGAGAAACAAAGAAAGCATCCGTATCCAAGACATCAGGTTTGTACAGTTTAGGACGGAAGCTGTGGCCCAGGCGCTCTGGGAATCCCAAGTTAGTGTGGAGAAGAGAAGCTGTCAGCTCTCATCTAGGCTGTTCCGAAAGACTCCCCACGACAGTCAGGATCCCACAACAAATTGAATAAGCAGAAACACACGGTTTGACTGGCAGATATAAGGGACATTTTCCAAAACTTAGAGAGAACTGATAGGATGCAGAAAGGACACTTAAATGTCTAGTGCTCAAAACCAAATTCAAATAGAATATCTACTTGTAACATAAAAGAAGTTATTTCTGTATAAATCTAAGAAATCAAAGTAAACGTTTGAGGCAGGATGAAAAACTCAGAGCTGATTCTGATGATGTAAGGATTTTAACAAGAGCTTCATTGGATTATCTGTTGCTATCAGTACTTTCTAGAGAATTAGGCAGAGACAGGATAGAACAATTTTGTCCTCTTTCTAGCTAAGTGGCTGCCTTGCAAGAGCCTGGAATTCTAGGCAGTTTCAGTGCTCTGGGCTTTGTGGGATGCTGGTGAAAGAGTAACAATACCTTGTACCTGAACAAGTCTTTCCTAGTTGCAAAGCACTTTCTCATCAATTATCTTAGTTGAACTCAACATCACTATGAAAAATGCATTGTGAGGGAACGGGTTCTGCAAAATGAGGGACTGTTGGCATCTCACAGTGAGAAGTGATGACCTGGAACACCTGTTTTCTTTTGTGTGTTCTTTGTACCATGCTAAGCTACCTGTAAGACCCACTCCTCTTTTCCTAAAATATCTCACCCCTGACCTACCTTTATGTGCAAACTTTCATTCCTGAAGTTTCATTCTTTCAGCAAAGATAGCTCTGGAGGCTCCATACCAAGATGAAAATACCTCTAGGAGGATGATCACATTGGCGACATTATCTGCCAGCGAGGATGAATTTATCTAATTGGACCCTTGGGAGATGGAAGATAAGACAGATATGTTCTGAAACGAGAATGAAGGGAATATAAAAAAAAACTGGCCACAAAGCAGTGCTAAAGACAGAAGGGGAATCCAGGCAAAGTGTCCAGAGGAAACTCTGGGATCCAGAGAGCATTTTTAAGGTCATGGAGTGACCCAGAGAAAATAGAGAGAAAGGCCCTAAGACAAATGTCACCTACACTGTGGTTTTACTGGGAGAAGGTTTAGATCATATGAGTCGTGGTAGGTCCTGAGTTTCAATATAGCAGGTCAGCTAAGAGAAATGAAGAGTCGGATTTGGTTGAATTAGAAAAAGGAGAACCTGGATGGACAGAGATGTCTATTGAGGTCAGTTAGCATAAGAAAGGTACCCAAAAACTTTAAATCTAGACGGGGAAGGATATCCCAGGATCTGGAGAATAAGCCCTTCAGAGAGAGAGAGTAAAAAAACTTTACAACCAACTGTGATGTGGAAGCCTGAGTAACAAGTCTGAGATGAGGGCCTGGCAGAGTGCACATTGAGCAGGTGAAGGTGAGTAAACTGGCCAAATCCACTGAAATGCCCCTGCAGCCTCCAGTTACAGGAAATCAGGGACCCAGGTTAAAGACTTGGGGACATAAATGAGTAGAGGCCTGAGCTCTGTTACCCAGGGTACCAGGAGTTGGAAGCCTGGCTTGGAAAGGATGAGAAATTGGAGTTAAATACAACATACCCTTTGACCTACAATTTCACAGATGTTTCTCTACACATATTCTCATGCATGTGAGAAATGTCACACATACAAGAATATTCACTGTGGCATTGTTAGAAACAGCCTAAAGCTTCTTCAATAGAAGATGGCTAAAATTTTTTTAGCCATACTCATGCAATGGAGTATGAGCCATACTCATGCAACAGAAAATTAAGCTGCAGAACTTCCTTGGCACTGATCTGGAACAATCTTTAAGACTGTGTCCTCAAAATAAGCAAAGCAAGAATGGCATATATAGTGAGCTACCATGTTTTTTTGTTTGTTTGAGACAGGGTCTCACTCTGTGGCCTAGACTGGAGTGCAGTGGCATGATCACAGCTCACTGCAGACTCGAATTCCTGGGCTCAAGTGATCCTCCCAGCTCAGCCCCCTGAATAGCTACAGGCTACAGGTGTGTGCCATTATGCACAGTTAGTCTGTTTGCTGTTGTTGTTGTTGTTTTTGGTAGAGATGGGGTTTTGTTTTGTTGTCCAAGCTGGTCTTGAACTCCTGGGCTCAAATTATCTCTCTGCTTTGGTCTCCCAAAGTGCCTGGATTAAAGGAGTGAGCCTCTGCACCTAGCCTTGTATTTCTTTTTATAAAACATACCTGAGGAGATTTCTGGGGATGAGATCTGGGTGGCCGAGTAATAGATTGGGAAGAAGATATTCTCAATCTACTCTTATAACCTTGGAGATTTGTACTGTATATACGCATTAGCTATTAACAACAACAACAACAACAAAAACCTGGAAGGATTAGATGACAGGGAGCAGGAACCAGAACCCAAAGAAAAGTTACCAAAATGAGAGGTCAGGCAGAGGCATGTCAGTGGGGTGGGACCAAATGTTGGGCCAGGGTGCCTTACTTGCAACCTCGTCTGTGTGGTTCTTGGCAAGATGCAGTTCCTCATGGGTTATTGGACTAAGGGTCTCATTGCCTTGCTGGCTGTTGTCCAGGGGACCCTACAGTTCCTTGTCATGGAGGCCTCTTCACAGGGCAGCTTGCAACATGGCAGTGGGCTTCCCTCAAAGCAAGTGAGAAGGCAAGAGAGAGTGCACAGCCTTTTTATATACTAGTAACAACAGTGACATCCCATCAACTATACTGTGTTCTATTCTCTAGAAGCAAGACACTAAGTCAGCCCCCACTCACTGAAGGGGAGGGAGGGTTACAAGGGCATGCATACCAGGAGGAGGGGATCACTGGGGCCATTTGTAGACTGCCTGCTGGACATTTGTTTTGGGTAGAAAATCAGGAAAACTCTGATAGACTACACTTCATAGGCAACTTTACCATGAAGATCTTAACTAATTACACACCTTCTTGTGCCTTTTTTCTATACACATATGTATTTTAAAAAATATTTCAAACTATATATATATATATATATGATTGCCTGCTCTGTTAACTCAGAAATATTTCATGTATTGATGTCAATAAACCTTGTTCTACTACATCACTTTTAATGGCTTAACTTATTTCATCATATGAACTTATTCCTCAAATGACTTAGCCACCCTTGCTACAGTTCTGCATTTAATTGAGTCAAATTAATGTCACAATCATGAAAAACTGTGCCGGGCATTTAACGTGGTAAAGTGCAGCAAATCTCAGCAAGCTCTGTGCCGTCTGGCCAGTCCCTGGGGCTCAGCCTGTAGGTCTCTAACATAAGGGGTTTGAAAAGATGGTCACTAAGGTCCCTTTAGAGATCAGAAAGCCTGTCCCCTGGGAGTGGTGATTCCTCAGAGATGCTACCCAACCCACTGGGGTCAGGTGTTTAGCAGCTGTCTAGGATGCCTTTGTTGATTTTGAGACCTCTGGATCCTTCTATGTCTGTGTAAATATATACAACTTGCTTGTGTATATATACATGTATATATATACACATACACACACACACAATATGTATACAACTTGCTTCTTTATTTCTTTTTCAAAAATGCTATAACACTTTTCCATAGTTTGCTTTCTTCTTTCTTTCTTTCTTTCTTTCTTTCTTTCTTTCTTTCTTTCTTTCTCTCTCTCTTCTCTCTCTCTCTCCATCTCTCTTCTTTCTTTCTTTCTTTCTTTCTTCTTTTTTTTTTTTGATGGAGGTCTTGCGTCTGTTGGCCCCAGGCTGGAGTGCAGTGGTGTGATCTCTGCTCACTGCAAGCTCCGCCTCCCAGGTTCACGCCATTCTCCTGCCTCAGTCTCCTGAGTAGCTAGGACTACAGGCGCCCGCCACCATGCCCGGCTAAATTTTTGTATTTTTAGTAGACACGGGGTTTCACCGTGTTAGCCAGGATGGTCTCGATCTCCTGACCTCGTGATCCGCCTGCCTTGGCCTCCCAAAGTGCTGGAATTACAGGCGTGAGCCACCGTGCCTGGCCGCTTTCTTTTCTTTAAAAAAAAATCATGAGCATCTTTCAGGGACAGCTTAGAAATATGTGCCCAAACTTCCTTCCTACTATCTGATATTTTTTAATAAAGATGTGCTATTGGCCAGGTGTGTTGGCTCACACCTGTCATCCCAGCACTTTGAGAGGCCGAGACAGGCGAATTACCTGAGATCAGTAATTAGAGACCAACCTGGTCAATATGGTGAAACCCTGTCTCTACTAAAAATACAAAAATTAGCCAGGCGCGGTGGCACACATCTGTAGTCCCAGCTACTTGGGAGGATGAGGCAGGAGAATTGGTTGAGCCTGGGAGATGGAGGTTGCAGTGAGCTGAGATCATGCCACTGCACTCCATCCTGGCAGACACAGGGAGACTCTGTCTCAAAAAAAAAAAAAAAAAAAAAAAAAAAAAAAAAAAAAAAAAAAAAAAAAAAAAAAAAAAAGGTGTGCTATCACTTGTTTAGCTAGTCTCTATTGGTGGATATTTAGAATGTTTACATTATTTTTCCTCCCTCAAGTCTGCTGTGACCACTTGCATGCACATAGCTTCGTGTACTTGTGGGAGCTCTTCTATAGCAGAAATGTTCAGAAATGAAATTATTGGCTCAAAAGGTATGCAGTTTTTAAAACTCTTTAGGTGATCCCAATTTGTCTAATCTCTCCCACGTCTTTGGCAACACTATGTATCTTTGCAATATTATCTTACTATGGATTTAATTTGCCTTTAACACATTGGTGGGATTATTCACGTTATGTCTGGATTGATAATTTATATATTTTCTTCTGAGAAGCGCATGTTTTTGTCCTTTGATTAATATCTTCAAGGAAAAGAACAGCATACTTACCAGGGTGGCAGCCTTAGACAATATCAAATTGTTAAAAGAGGAAAACCCTTTTGATTCCATCTTATTTTCAGTGGTCCTCTGCCTACATCTCCTTTTACTTCTTTTTGTATTGCAAGAATAAGACAGTATGTGATCCATCTGCAGAAATGACACTAGGTTTCCCTGGGAAACTCGTTGCAGAAAGAGACTAGAAGAATTAGGTGAGGGCTAGACTGCAGTTCCAGGGCTAGACTTCTTGAAACTGCCTTAGTGAAGAGGGGTCAGCAGGCTCTTTGTTGGCCACATAAAGCTCTTTCAGCTCCCCGCACCCCAGTGCTGTCTTCTATCACAAGAATGTCTCTATGCTTTGTTCTGTGGCTAAGCTGGAGGGTGTGGTTAGATAAAGGCACAAATCATAGAATATTAGAGCTGGAAGAAGCCTTTGAGACGAAGGAGTTCATTGTGTTTATTTTTATAGGAGAGGGAATATGGCCTAGAGAGGGGAAGTGACCAAGGCCTGTGCCCAGGCCTCCTGATTTTTGACACTCCCTAGTGCATCCCCACTGAAGTCCCACAACAGGGCAGCTGTGGAAAATGGCCGCAAGACTCCACTGTTCTTGGCACATGCTCCCATGAGTGGTTAGCTCCGGGCCCAAGACTTAATCTCTCCACCTGCCTCTTCTTGCCCTTCCATTTGAGAATGGTCAGGGAAGCCCTTTCCAGGAAGATGATCTTTATCATGAGACCTGAAGGAGCCACAATGCAAAGAAGGAGGAAGAGGGTTCAGGGCAGAGGAATCTGCATGTGCAAATGTCCTGAGGTAGGAGGAGTTTGATGTGTGGAGGAACAGAAAGGAGATCCGTGCAATGAGAGCAAAGCAGAGAGAGAAGGATCCTGGCCCAGATGCAGTAGGTCTTGATGAAGAGCTTGTGTCAAGTACAGTGGAATGCCAGTAGCAGAATAAAAGCAGGAGAAGC